CACTTACAGGCCTGGCATATGTACTACAGCGTCTCCAGCGCTTTCGAGCAGCAATGGCCGGCCGTTGCCCAAACTCTCATTCCCCTGATAGGTGGAGAATTGACCAATAGCCGTAGCACCACTTTACTGACGTCAGTAAAGTGTTCAAATCTGGATCACTCTGTATCAGATCCGTTGCAGCCCCTTTTTTAGAGATTTGTGTATGGAGGAAAAAAGAGAGGGTTGTGTTTTCTGACACTTGGTGAGTTCCCTGGAACACCGGGGGGACACATATTCATGTATAAAATACGTACAAAAGTGCATTTTGCATGATAGGTCCCCTTTCAGCTAACGGGGCTAACGGAGCTAGCAGAGAGAACACTAGCAGTTTGGTACTTGCGTTTCATTACAATAACTTCTGTTACAGCAAGAATCCCCCTCACACACATATTGTGTGTGTGTGAATGAATGTAGCCCCTATTACGTCTACACTAACTGACTTTTACAAATTAACCTGACACTATTGTTTAGATTATACAAGAATCACATATGATCTGCAACAAAATGAGTTCTTCCTCACCAACATAATAACAAACTAAGAGTGCATGGGGTCACAGCCCATGTCCTCATAGAATCGGACAAAATAGAACAGGCAGAAGTCACATTTACTCTAAACTGCACAAGACTGCACTGAGGTGCTTCTGTGCTTCACGGTATTAATTCCATTTAAAGCTTATTTTTCTACTTCACTACCTCAGAGTAACACAGAGTTAATTGTTAACTCTATTGCTGTTTAGGGAAACATTTTGTTTATGCCTGAGCCGTGTCTTCAGGTTCCTGTTTGTGTCATGTGATAATGTGTCATGCCCAAACATGCATGACACACTGAGTATCCCACAAACACAGTTACCACCACGCTAAAATTACCTACTGAAACTGTGACTGGCACCTGGACAACAGCCTCAGGCCCCCAGTGATGACATCACAGGCCAAATACGGACATGGTCCTCCCACTCACACATATTCCCACTCTGACACCTGAAACTGTGTAGGCTTTTCCCCCAAAAAGTGTAAGTAAGGAAAATTCTCCTTTCATTACAAACAATTTCCATGGATCTTTTTATCATATGTCATGCTTGGACATAAAATGTGTGACAGTTAAGTAACTTTTGTAACAATTGTTTTTTAAATTGTATTTACATCTTTGGTTAACACAAAATGTCTTTCATTTATCATATATATATATATATTTATATATATATATATCACATATTTTATTATCTAGCTAGATTACATCTGACTGACAGTCTCTTCATATTACACTGTTAACAATTTCACAACGGTATGAATAATTCTCCCTTACACAAATATTAGCAGAACCTCCACAAATAAACTACTGAACACTCTCAAAACAATATCAAAGGTGCCTTGTTCAATTCAAAGTTTATAGATTTCTTTTAAACTATACAAATACATTGCTACTCCGCCATTTTGAATTTGTACTGTAGAGTCCACCAAGATTCCCATCATGTATACCAGAGGGGACAAATGAATTGAATGTAACTACATTTTAAGTTTTTTTTTGGATAATGGTAGTTAAAGGTGGGTTAGGTACGTTTGAGAAAACGGCTCGAAATACACTTTTTGTTATGTTCCATGGAATGCTCTTAACATCCCGATAGCAATGAATATCTTAAGAAGAAAAAAAAAATTCATCTGTGGAAGCCGTAGTATTGTAAAAAGCAAGACCAATCATTTTAGCCGGCCCAGCTAAAGTAACTGGATAGCCTAGTTGCCTTTCAGCCTTCCATCTGTGCACAAACTTTTCTCGTGCCCTCATTGGTCATGTGCGCGTTCGTGTGTGTTGGAGGAGGGGCTCTATAAGGAAGTGGCAGATTTTTTCCGGTTGTTTATTTTCAAATTCTAGCGCACTCGAGCTGGTTTCTCCGAAATTACCTACCCCACCTTTAATGTTCGAAAATGTGGAACCCAATTATGTCACTGTGCACTGTTTAGTTTCCAGCACTGACATTCAAAACAGTTCAAGCGTTACCATACAATATGTTAACACAAATTTACTTATATGTGCCTTTTAAGTTGAGTTGAATTCATTCGAACCAATATGGCAAACCTATTAATCTTTAGATCCATACACATAGTGGAAACATTTAGCAGCTGAATGAGGACACTTGTACTGCAGGCTGCTTTAGCTTCTTTGACTTAGCGTTGATCTGCATAATGCCCCAGCCGGTTTAACGGTAGGGTTGGACACCTGAGTGAGAGCCAACCGTTAATGTGAGTCTGGGCTTGCCTCAAACAACCTGCTGCCACTTGTCACTCCAACCCCCTCTGGCATTTTCTCACAGCTCTTGAAGCCGAGTCCTCAACCTGTTGCCGCTAAGTTTGCACCGAGCCCTTTTGCGGAACTCTTTCACCGAGTAAACTTACATTGGCAAAATGTATCAGGACTGAAATGCTTACATAAGTCACGCCCTTTCAAAAACACACATCTTCACAAATGTAGCACAACATTTTACTATCGTATTAATATGTGCATCTTTTAAAAACATGTGACGTGTGTTTGTGGGCTCCCTGCACTTCAGGACTAATCCCCCCTGAAACCATCTCTCCTCAGATTCTTAATTGTTGAAATTCCACCCTGCCTCCCTGTGTGTGGAACCCAATCTCCATAGCCAGGCCAAAGAGGCTTTAATCATCCTACCTTGGATAAAATAGAGGCATTATAGTCCTAACGGCAGTTTTGGCCCTTAAACACTGCCTCCATTCATTTCTGAAACAATCTGATTCCCTCTCTACCTCTCTTGCCCCCTCTCACTATTCCCTCTTTTTGCAACAGTGTGTCAATAGGGATCACTTGGCGTAGTGTTTGCCATTTCCCCAACATCTTCCTCTCCCTCACTGCTGCGGAAAACTATCGATAAACCGAGCGGAGTGCACATCTCTCTCCAAAGACCACTTCCAGGAGAAGACTGCAACCCTCAACCTGCAAGGAGTGACATCACTGAAGGTCAGATTCATCTTCTTTTCATGCACGCTCATGCTGTTAACCAGTGTGCTCAGTTCAGATGTACTTGAATGTTACATTTTTTTCAATGAACAGGGTTCTGGGTAGTGGGACTAAATGCATTCTGTAGATTAAAGCTTATCAAAGTAAGTCATTTATTCAGGACAAGGTATACCATTTTTTTGACAATATGATTTGTTCCTGTTAATGAAGGTAAAAAGCAACACAAATAGTTGCAGTGAAGATAATGAATTTGGGTTCAACTAATCGAATTTGAAATATTGTGTACCTTGCATTCTATTCTCAGACTAAGATAGGGTGAAGTGAGTCGGAGATTAGTAGTTTTATGCACGTACCTTCACTCAGACATAAATTTCCTCTCATATCATTTCAGTCTACGATTGGCCAACTGCAAAACTGCTGTACGTTTGTGTGTGTGTGTGTGTGTGTGTGTGTGTGTGTGTGTGTGTGTGTCTTGATTGGGAAATGAAGATGAAAGATATTACTCCGTCACTGTCTTGACATCAGAGGTTTGAAAGCACACATTAACTCCTTTGCAAACAAAAAGTCAATGTTTGATAGAACCGTGAAACTCTGGAGAAATCTTAGCCGTGTCATTTGTTGTAGATTAATTTGTTATACTTTCTTTTAATTATGTGCTCATATACAGCCTGAATAGGACTAACTGTAGATTTTTTTGTTTTTAATCGTGCTTTTAAAAGGAACCATCTTTAAAAAAAGCAATTCTTAAAACAGCCTATTTGTTGTTTTCAGTTTCTGTTACCTCCATCCATAACAGAGAACCTGTAAAGAGAAAAACAGCATTAAGCTCATTGCAGATTGAAGGTGTGGCTGGAGCTTTTTTTTTGTCTGGTAAACCAGAACCTGAGTCACACGCGTTCCACCTGCGGCGATAACCTGACGGAGACAATTACTGACATGAGGACACATGCCCACGGCTGGGGGTGGGGGTAGTCCAAACGTCACTGCTGACAAAGCGTGTGTGTCAAGCCCCTCCCGGGTTAAGTGTATAAAAGACCCGCTCCAACCCTACCCAAACATTTACTCTTTGGGATCCCTCTCAAGCAAGACAGAAAAACCTTTGGACCTTTTTTCTTTGGACGACTGCAGGAAACTTTTTAAGAGACATGGTGTCAGCGGGTCTGCAGATGCTGGGCACTGCCCTCTGCATTATTGGATGGATTGGGTGCATCGTGGTCTGCGCCCTTCCTCAGTGGAAAGTGACAGCCTTCATCGGCCAGAACATCGTGACGGCTCAGACCACCTGGGAGGGCATCTGGATGACCTGCGTGGTGCAGAGTACGGGTCAGATGCAGTGCAAGGTGTACGACTCCATGCTGGCCCTGTCCGCAGACCTGCAGGCGGCCCGCGCCCTCATGATCCTCGCTATCGTGGTCGGCGTCTTCGGCCTCCTCCTCGCCATCGCTGGGGGAAAATGCACCAACTGCGTGGAGGACGAGAGCACCAAAGCTAAGATTGGTGTGGCATCCGGGGTGATGTTCATCATCGCTGGGGTCATGTGCCTCATACCTGTGTGCTGGACGGCCAACACCATCATACAGAATTTCTATGACCCCCTCGCCATGTCCTCTCAGAAAAGGGAGATGGGAGCTGCACTCTTCATCGGCTGGGGGTCCGCAGGCCTTCTCATCGTGGGTGGGGCTCTCCTCTGTGCCAACTGCCCTCCCAAGGATACCTACTCTGCAAAGTACTCCGCTCCCCGTTCAAACGCACCCAAGGACTACGTCTGAGGAGAGAAACAGAATGATAGGACTGCACAAAGACTTGGGTCGAATGCTCTGTGGCGCCTGAGATTCATGTTGCCACAATGAGTATGATTTGAATTTCACGGTGATTTCTATAGGGCTCACTGTTTAGTTGTCACTTTCATGTTGAGATACAGCACTTCAAGATGTGTTACTTCAGTGCCAAGGCGATGTGGACCACACCCAAACATAATCCCAGGGTGGGAAATATACATATAGAAATTGGATCAAATTTAAAACTTGATCAATCTGTGCCTTTTTTTTTTTACATATTATTGCATTTCAAAATGTATATTATACAATATGTGTATGTCTGAAACTGTAAATAAAGATTTTTTTGTATCAACATTGAATTATCTTGTTGTGGTTGTTCTTTCTTTTTTTCGTAACATGCCATTAAAGCACCTTCATCAAGCTAAAAATGTGACATGAGAGATGAGGACTCTGCTCTACATGCTGAATAATTCTTATTAATTTATAACTAAAACAAGGCTAAATGTTTTATAAATGTAGGACAGAATTATAAAAACTATCAAGATTACAAAGATATATGCAAAATGACTCCTAATTCACACAAAACACATTTTTAAATCAGTTTTTCAGTGTTCATAAATATGAATATACCTAGACCGGAGATTATATCAGTGACGAACCGTGTCCATCACAACTGGACCCTTTGTAGACACACACATAAAAACATGTCATTTTCACAGTGGATCTTATTCAATATTGTGCACTTATTTACCACATTCGATATCCAAGAAATAATGATTGAGCAACTGTGACCAAATATGTGTAAAAAGACAATAAGTTTACCTCAGAGTGAATGGGGGAACAAACTTTCAATGTTTGAATAAGTCTCTTAAACGCTAGAAAATTATTAGCTTTTCTCTAAAAGTCAACAAAGACTATGAGCTCTTTTACAGCCTGAAAAGTATAATTCTTAGGTCTATGAGACACAATCTGTTCTCCACAGTTCCTTGAAAGCTTACATTTAAGTAGCAAGCAACTCAATGTTCTTTAGTTTAGCAATAGCATCAGCAATGTGTTAAAATATGAACCTTATATTTGTATCGACCTCACAATTAATGAGATGAATGTTGTTTGTTTTTACACAGGAAACTTCCATTGCCCAATATCTAAATCCTTACCTGTCCAACACTGCCCCTTGCTGTAAACAGAATAACACATCCTGTATTTATTCTTACAGACCTGAAACTTTAATCCATAATACGGCAGGTGTTCAAGTTAGATCATAACTACATTTGTGTCAACCCACCCAGTTATTCAACAATCTCTGGGGAAAGAGGGTTACTTACTTGTGTTATATTATTGTCATAGAAGATTTATAATTGAAATTTGAAATTCATTTGTAAATGTACCTGGTCAAATATTTTACTTTGAAATCCCAGTTATTTGGAAAATAAAGAGTTGACAACAAGTTTTCTTCTGTTTGTATCTGACCTTGAACGTATGGTTTGAGCAGGTCAGCACTCTTAAAGGTCACTGAATCTTTGTTTGTGTGTAAACTCCTTCTACCCAATAGGAGCCCAGGACTCACATACCCTCATGTGTGTGTCCCTTCTTCTCACACAACAACCTATAAATACAAGCTCACATCACTCCACCTGTCTTCCTTTTTGGATTTTATCGTGTGAGGAACAGAGCCGGCAACATGGTTTCTCAGGGGATTCAGATGATTGGTATATCCATGGCCCTGATTGGCTGGTTCATGGTGATCGTGGTGTGTGCCATGCCCATGTGGAAGGTCACTGCTTTCGTGGGGGCCAACATCATCACGGCTCAGACGGTGTGGCAGGGCATGTGGATGAACTGCGTGGTGCAGAGCACGGGCCAGATGCAGTGCAAGGTGTACGACTCCATGCTGGCCCTGCCCCAGGACCTGCAGGCGGCCCGCGCCATGATCATCATCTCTATCCTGACCGGGGTCTTCGGGGTGATCCTGTCCATCGCCGGGGGAAAGTGCACCAACTGCATCGAGGAGGAGCGATCCAAATCCAAGGCTTGCATCCTGGCTGGAGTTCTGTTCATCGTGTCGGGGTTTCTCGTCATCATCCCCGTGTCCTGGTCCGCCCACACCATCATCACCAACTTCTACAACCCGCTGCTGATCGAGTCCCAGAGGTACGAGTTGGGAGCGGCGCTGTATATCGGCTGGGCGGCTGCTTCACTGCTACTGATGGGAGGGGGCCTGCTCTGTTGGAACTGCCCCCCCAAACAAGAAAACCCTCACTACCAACAAAGATTCACCCCTGTGAAGAGCACCAGCACATCCAGAGAATACGTCTGAGAGGGTTAGCCCTTCCTACACGGACTGTTGGGGTCACAGGAAATGAAACACAGAATACGATAGGATGATGCTTTGCTGTCAGGTCACGTCTGATGTCTTTCTTGCATCACATTAGCTCCATTTACAAAATCAACAAGGACAGATTTTTAAGAAACAAACAGATATTCAACAGAACATTCAATCACAATATGTTCAAGACCTTTAATGTACATTTGATCTGGATTTAAACTCCATATTTAGTTATAGAATTGAGTGTTAAACTAAATAAGTGCCTCAATCTAACCCCTTAAATCACAATACTGAAGCATTTTTCTTTTCACCAGAAAAATGTAATCATAGTTTGCTCAAACTAAAACATATATTTACCGGTATTGTAAGTATAGCATAGATACAGCTCGAGCTGAATCCTGAGTTTTGTTTGTTGTTAGTGTCAAAGTGACCTTCTTCAGAGCGGATATTTTGTCTAGTCAAGCAAGTGTAACTAACAACATTAACAATGACTTCCTCGCAGGGAGTTGTGCCAGCGGGGGCCTGGGCTTCTCACACCTAGGAGATGGAAGGCAGCTATCTTTAATGTGAGCAAAGCGCTTTCCTATAATGAGTGAACATGATTTCTTTGACCAAAATGTTGTCTATTTAAACAACAAAACAAGACAAAATAATATGAAAGAGCCTTTAAAAATGTTAATCCACAATGTATTGTGGCAGGTCGATAAGTAAAATAGGAATTCGGATTCAATCAATGTGTAAATATTTAGTCAGATTGTAATAATAATGAATTTAAAATCCAATCATCTTTATTCTATTGAAATGGTAACATCTGAACAGATATAGGAAGAAAAAGTACAGCTTCCTTTTTCTTAAGCAGGGTCTGTATTGATTCGTCTGTCTTGATAACGCAGGGATGTCAGTAACACGTAAACACTGAAGGAACATTAACGCATTTTTTTTTCATTTTCACACTGCTGAACAATTTTATATCTCTATTTCTGTGTTTCTGAATCTTGTAATGTTCTGTAAATAAACTCTATACTCACTGTATGATTACTGTTTACTTCTGAGACACTCAAGCATTTAGTTGTATTATAGAGATGAAAGGAAAAGGAAGAGGTAATAAAATCAACATCACAGTAAACTGAGGAAATGATTATGGAGCAATGCAATTCAGGAAACATTACCATAAGGAGGTTACTGCTGAGTTGTAGTTTCTGTAGAAAACAGGAAAAAAGACAAATAACCATATCAAACCATTTATGTTTTTGATGTTTTGGGATAATTTACAAAAGGAAAAAGAGATTTTTACAGACATATATACATTCAGACCAGTCAGTATAAGCATCAGTCCAATCTATTATATGTTTTCAGACAATACGGGTTAGAAAGAAACTCACAATCATTACAAAAAAGGTAAAGTAGGTTTATTCAAAAGTGAGTTTACACTCACAGTAAATTGACACCACTGGTGAGTTTTGTTTGACTTATAGCACTGTGTGTTATCCAAATGTAATATGAAGTGTTGCTGCACACATCAGCAAAACAAACAGACAGTGTGTGCAGTTTCACCTGACCGGATAAGGTGTGAGAGTGTCATCAGTTTGTTAGAGGTATCCGTCATAGGATGTGTTTTTTTCAAAGTAAAGTGATTGTATCAGCTGACAGTGCTAGCTTCTTGTGACTCATCACTCCATCAAGTGATCGTTATCTGAAACGGATCCCTCCTCCTAAGGTCGGGGCAGACTGCATATATCATATATCAGACATACAAGCAACTGATGCTGTCTGTAAAACTCAAATATACATCATATTTTGGTCTGTGCATCAAGCACTGTAAAAAAGGTCTAATTTCTAGACAGAATAAGTCTTTCAATTGATGTAAGACATAATAACTTAAGAAGTTACAATGCAGTGAGATATAGGCAGAGGTGTAAAGTAACTAAGTACATTTACTCAACTATTGTACTTATAATTTTGAGGTACTTGTACTTGAATATTTCCATTTTATGCTACTTTGTACTTCTACCCCATTATAATTCAGGATGCATTGTGTACATTTACTCCGCTACATTAATACCTTTAGTTACTTTACAGATGTGGATGAATAATGTGAAATATAATCAAGTGTTAAATCAGACTTTAGTTCCACCTGGAATAAATTCACAAGCTACCCTGCAGTATACAAAGTCATTCAAACTAGCTGCACCTTTACCAGCTTTGAGAACACTTTAATGATCAATCATTATAAAACATATCATATATATTATTCTGAAATGGATCAACCTGCACAATGACTACTTTTACTTTTGGCACTTTAAGTATATTTTGATGCTAATACTTTAGTACTTTTACTTTAGTAACATTTTGATTGCAGGACTTTTACTTGTAACAGAGTATTCCTACACTACAAGTTTTCTCAAGTACACAATCTGAGTACTTCTCCCGCCTCTGGATATAGGGTCTTGTATTTAGACAATGCATATTAAGTATCTTTTTAAGTCAAATACTCTTGAAAACATTTGTTTGAGTTGTATCTCAGATGAAACATGTCTCAGATATGTGACGTCTCACAAGGTTTTGAAGCTGCTTTCTTTTTTCAAGAAATACATATAACTTGATATGAGAAAATACATTTTTATGGAAAATCAGAAAACAGAAGACTTATAGACATGTCTGGCTTATTTTATAACACAACATTTCCTGATCCTGGTCAATACAGTCCAATATAAGTGTTCCCAGCTAATTACAAGATCTTATCTTATTTATCTAAATATCCCATCTAATTTCAAGGAACCCAAGCAATTTTCATTTATTCTATTGGAATATTTATTAAGTTATTACAAGCAAAGACACCTTGCTTTTATTATTATTTTAGTTGATTTTGGAGCAGAATTGTTTTCAGTGTGATACAAGCCATCCTTCTAAATAACTCTGTGTTTCTGCTCTGGTTCTGTGATACTGTGGTTGATGGCTATAGTGCTTCAACTTAGAAAACAAACTCAACCCATCTTGTAAAAGCAATTTGTAGAAGGTATAAAGACCAGCTCACAATGTCCTTCCCTCCTTTTTCCTAACATTGTCTCAACAGAATTGTGTAAAAGTCTTTAAGAAGTGTTTTTTTAAATGATAAACACTAGAAACCTGCAAAGCCTTCCATATTTAAGTAAAATTGATCACATGACCTTTAAATTAAATTAGTTGCTGTCTTATCAGTTGTGTGTGGGGGTTCATCGTTGTCTTAGGAGGCCGTTGTTTAGTGAACTGGTTTCAGGACCTCTGAAGTCTCTAAGTGGCTGTAAGTCCATCCAATAAAACCATCTTTACGGCAGTCGAATCTGCATATGAAAGTGTTTTTCAAACTACAACAGCTAGCATTGTTTGAAAAAAAGGGTGCCGCTCCTCTAGCTCTAGGAAGAGGAATCTTGATTGACCAGAAGAACTCACCTGGTGACGAGAGCCCTCCTCCAGCGCATTCTCTGACAAACAACAAGCGAGAGAGTTGTGTCACTCGGGAAAAGGACCAGAGCTGTATGCTGTCTTCTCTGCTGCCGTAGAGCAAGCCTTTTCACTATGGGCAGGATTGGCAAGGAAATTGCGGGTCAAATCATCAGCTTCATAGGCCTTGTTTTGGTAGCAGTGACGTGTGGGATCCCCATGTGGAGAGTGACCTCCTACATCGGAGCCAACATCGTGACGGGGCAGACCATCTGGGATGGCCTGTGGATGAACTGTGTGATGCAGAGTACCGGGCAGATGCAGTGCAAGCTGAACGACTCTGTGATGAAGCTCTCCAAAGACCTGCAGGCCGCCCGGGCCCTGGTCATCATCTCCCTCATTGTGGGTTTCATCGGCTTCATCATCACCTTCGTTGGAGCTAAGTGCACTGGCTGCCTGGACAAAGATTCATCCCAGGCCAAGGTGGTGATCATAAGCGGCTGTCTCTTCATCGTGTCCGCCGTCCTGGTCCTGATTCCCGTCTGTTGGTCGGCAGCCATCACCATTACAGACTTTCAGAGCGTCTTGACCATCGAGACCCAGAAGAGGGAGCTTGGAGCCTCCATCTACATCGGGTGGGCCGCTGCTGCACTTCTTCTGCTCGGAGGGATCATCCTAACCACTTCCTGCCCTCCACAGAAACCCATGTATGGATACCCAGGCTACCCACCGGCACAAATGTACCCTTATGCAGGCCCAGCAAACTATAGTCCTGTGTATGCCCCCCCCTCCAGCCAGCCCTACACAGCCCCCGGGTCGTACGCACCAACCAAACCCTATGGAGCTCCAACCGCGTACTCTGCTAGACAATACCTCTGAAATGAAAGAACAGAAACAGGATAAAGACATCTGCCAGGATGACTTCAGAAACTTGTTGAATCTAACATGATATGATTTTGATTGCTGTTATGCTCTATGGTAGAAGTGTTCCTAGTTTATGAAGTCTTGATATAAGAGAAATATTGTGTCAACATGAATGTATTCATAAGGAAGTCCCTGCTGATACTGTATTTATTTTCTTGTCATTAAAAGCACATTTTGTAAATAGTGATGATTTGTAATGTTTGTTTTCTGTAAATGCCACTTAATCTTTGAGTATTTGAATGATTTTTAATAAAATGTTTTGATATATTCAACTATCTGTTTGTGGAGTCATTATAACAACACCTTTTTATTATTTTAAAGATATTTTATGAATATTATCTAATTGTATAAGGTCAGAGGCCTTCTGTGTATGGGTGACTGAGAGACCAAAATGATAAATTAAAGGAAAAAAATGTCCCTCTTCCAATCTTCAGCAAAGGATTTTTTAACTGTTTAATTTCATTTTAACAAAACAAGACAAGACATACCCTGACATAGGTCGTTTTTCATTCAAATGACAGATGGTTACATAACAAAGCAAAGTATAGTACATCATTAAATAAAGCAAATCCAGTATAAATTGAAATAATTAAGTAAATAATATAAATAAATACAAACTGGGAAATAAAAATAAATGAATAAAGTCAAATCAAATAATTACTAATGAAAGCATTTTACACTGGGAATGACATCTTTGGCACAGCAGGATCAGATACACAGGGACATTTTCCATAGTGTTCATCTAAAGTTCGGTTCAGTTTCAACAACCCTCTTCAACCAGCGATACATCCAGATATATCTTTCAACACAGTTCCATCTTTGGGTAAAAGAGTCCTAAAACAACCTTTTTTATTTAATTTGAATCCCTTTGCAACTTCACTTCACACTGTGAATATATTGATGAAACATCAGAATACTACCCCTGAAATAAACAAATACACAAAATACACTTATAAATACAATCACAATACTAAAGGAAAGACTTATTTGCAGTGAATGATGCAATCAACTGTGTCTATGATCAACATGCGAGCTTCTGATTTGAAAAAACGAAATCAATTCCTAAAAAATATAAAGTTTAATCTCATGAGATGATAACTAAATAGAGGTCATGAATAATAAAAAATAAAAAATGGAGGCCGTTAACATTGGACATCCGGTGATACTCCCTCCCATATATGGTTTATTTTTAAATGTGAATCAAGTGACTGGACCTGATCTTCCGGTAATGTGCCCAATCAAAGGCTGGCCACTGGCAGACCAGTGTTCCGGAATGTGTTGCTCTTTGCTGCCTCATTTACATAGTCGTATAAGGCTGATGTTCATCTCGTCGAAACTACTCCCGGGTCCCTGTGTGGATAATGTGAAGAATCTGGTTGGGTGGGTAAATCACTCTGCACACTGGTTTCAGGTCAGAAGGAAGGACATTCTGACTCCACCCTCAACAAGGACGTCCTTATAAAGCAAGGAAAGGTTCAGCCGTCTTTATTCGACTTTACAACTTGAACTGAACTGACCTGCTCCTGAAACGGTTCTGTTCAAGTGTCTCTATCAAGACCTCATCATGGTGTCAATGGGACGACAGATGCTGGGCTTTGCCCTGGGCATCATCGGCTTCCTGGGGACCATCATTGTGTGCGCTCTGCCCATGTGGAAGGTCACGGCCTTCATCGGAGCCAACATTGTGACGGCACAGGTCATCTGGGAGGGTTTATGGATGAACTGTGTGACGCAGAGTACCGGTCAGATGCAGTGCAAGATCTACGACTCCCTGCTGGCTCTGCCCCAGGACCTCCAGGCCGCCAGAGCTCTCGTGGTCATCGCCATCATCGTCTCTGCCTTCGGAGTCATCTTGGGCGTTATTGGAGGCAAATGCACCAACTTTGTTGAGGATGAAACTTCCAAAGCCAAGGTGGCCATTGCTGCTGGGATCATCTTCATCTGTGCCGGTGTTCTCATCCTCGTCCCCATCTGCTGGTCTGCCAACACCATCATCAGGGATTTCTACAACCCCATCATGACCAACGCCCAGAGGAGAGAGCTGGGGGCTGCGCTCTACATCGGCTGGGGCACAGCTGGGCTTCTCCTCCTTGGCGGTGCCCTCCTCTGCAGCTCCTGCCCCCCTAAAGAGAGCCCGGAATATCCCGTCAAGTACTCGGGCGCCAGGTCAAATGCCACCAGTCGTGCCTACGTCTGAGTGCAGCTTTCTCCTGAAAAAGACTTCTAAGTAATTTACTTTTTTTGAGTAATCCTCCTTCATTGTGAGTTTCCGATAGCACCAAAAGTTGTGTCTTACTTCTTTTGAAGCGACACAGTGAGAACTGACTTTGTGAGAAATTCAGATTTCTTTGGTGGAGGCAAGAAAGAGTGTTTCTTTTTTTTAAAGGGAACACAGTACAAAGAGAGTTGTGAAACTATTTCTGTGGCAGCATAATAACTGGACTGAATGAAAGCTATTCTATATAAAACTTTTCAACTTTTCAATTTTTTCTGAATGTATCCAAGCTGTGCTAGAATGATGTTAATTGTCAACACAAGCTGGGAAAGTTGTACAGTACCCTTGATATTTTGTGAATGTACCGTATAAAATATTTTACATAGATTATTGGCAAATACATTATCCAATACTGTTTTTGTTTACCAAATCACAGATTTTTAATAAAACGTTTGCTTAAATGAAATTATTTTGGGTGCCTTTTTTCATTTTAAAGTTTTCTGTTCTCAAAATGTTCATGGTTTAGAATATGTTTATAGTGAGTATGATGGAGCCAGAGAGTGTCACAACAATGTGTATTCAAAAACATTCTGCAGTATGTCTGAAATCTTCCTGCAGGTGTTAAACCAGTTCAACAAGCTTTACAGTGCTGAACTGGTAGAACAGACTCTAGTGTGTTTGTTTCAACAGTCAATCAATCAAAGCCAAACACTCAAAACACCAGCAGGGAACAGGCTTTGTATTCAACCATGACGTTTGAAGGCCTCTGGTGCCATCCTACATTTTTATTGTCAAAAAATCCCATAAAAAGACTTATAAATGGTGGGATTGACTCAAACTGATCAATAATGCCCTTGTTCATAATGAATAAACGTGTGGCTCATAAGCGTGTTTAAAGGTTTTTGGACAAAAATGTAGACTCAACATTTATTTTAAAAACACAATAACTAACAATGGCACAGAGTTTTAATACCAGGCTAGGCATACTCTTATTAATAAGTAACATTATGTGTTACAAAAATGTAAATCATATCAGAAAGGCCACAAATAAGTTTCATTTCAGGGGATTGATATCAAGATTCTGGACCAACAGTTGTACCACTGTCAGAACAATATGTACAATATTTGTATTGAAGTAGATGTTATTAGGATTGTTATGAGAATGAAGAAAATAAACAAACTTCTACACATTGAATTCAGTTCATTACAATATTGTATTGTTAAACAAGGGGTATGGATTCTAAACAGTATATTTAATATAACACCCTTAATGAAACCAAAGGAAATAGAGCATGTCATCCTCATAGTTATGGTTCTAATTTAAAATCCAATCCGAGTTTTAAAGAGAAAAAGTATAACTTTCCAAATGAAACTATCAGTCATTTTAGCAAAAGCCCCAAATCAATATGAGTTTATGTTCCTGTGACTCAGTGCTTGAGTATCGGTTGTAATTGTGACTTGTCAATTTGTAGCTATAGAGGAAATTACGTGACATTAACAGGGGAAACCAAACTAAACCAAACCTCTGGGCCTGAGAAGTGAAGCCAGGTCAGATTTTATAGAAGCCAGTGAGAAAATGATCCTTATTCTCGCTTTATTTATTACCTCAGTTAAAATGTTCCTAATTACTTTATGGTCCCTCTCACTAGTTTATAGTCAAAATAATCTAAATTTTGGTCCAATTTAGAGTAAAATAGCATTGAAGCGACATGTAGGGCGGGGCTAACTTGTGATTGACAGGTCACCACCACGGTTTTGTCGTGTTTGTGTCTTCCTGTTCACATTGTTTTTGTAGTTTATTAAAGTCAACTGTAACATTAAGAAAATGTCTTGTCTGGTGTGGGTTAGTGCTTAGCTCCACCCCCTTGTCTTCTGGTCCCAAAAAAAACAAGATGGCGACGGTCAAAATATCAAACTCAAGTGCAATGGTGGCTATGCCCACTTTTTATATACATTCTTTAGGGAAAGCACTGTTCATTTCTAATTGTATCCAACAGTTTATATTCAAAAGGTAATTCCATAACCTTATAAAACTGGTTAGTATTAGTTAATGTTGGGACCGCAACAAAAAAGGTAGAACCTTAGATAAGCAGTTATATTATTTAGCTTGATATATCTGTGCCTAAATTAAACAAAACCATAACCCATTTTTTCCAAGACTTTCCAAATACGCAAATTGCCTTTTCAACCACTTAACCCTTCAAACCAAGGCTCCACAAAATGTATTTCTGAACAATTATTTGTAACATACTGTAACATAAAAGCCCCAGATTAATTGTGTCTTTCTGCTTATTGAGTGTTAGATCAGAAATACCCAACCCAGTCTCATGGCATTTCGTGTTCACCAACACGATTTTTAATCTATTGATTCGCGTTCACCAACACGATTTTCCCCTTTTTTTCGTGTTGCACAGCACGATTTTAAAAGCAATGTATTTCTATTGGTAGTCTCACGGCATTACGTGTTATAGGAAGACCGGAAGCTGTGTGGTTAATAAAAACATGTTCTTACTCAATAGCAAGCCACAATTATTGCTTTTATTTTAAATCGTATAATTTCTGACTTTTATTTAAACATTAAATAATACTTTAGATTAAGGTCTTCTTTTAAATAAGAAAAAAGCTTTGGGGGTATCTACAGATAAATATTAAGCCTGACAAAGTACTTAACGTCTAATATATTGCTTTCGTGCAATGTTAACTATGTTGAAGCACTTATTTTAACTGATATTATACATATGAATTATACTCTTATGTAGATAGTATAAGAAATGTGCAGAATATGACAGTTTAATGGTGGAGGTATACACACATTTTGATAGATGTCTTGTAATGCGCTGTTGAGGAACCTGTGACCCAAGATTTTCATTCATTGCATACACCGTAGTTGTGTATATGATATGTCAATAACCTTTGAAAATCTTGAAAGGGATGTGCAAAATAGCCATTATCCAGTCTTTAATTAACTATTAGTAGAGAATAACGAGTAATGAATATACTTTATTACTCGTTTCCATTCATGTCAATTGCAGATAAATGTTTAGTCTTGTTTTACATTTGATAACACCAATGCCATGGCAACTTCTAATTGTGGGAAAAACGAAAATGTTCAGTAGAGACGTCCCATAGAACATTTTGCGAAACACAATAGCCAGCATGTGTAGTTCTGGGGGGGGGCTTTCGATTCCAGTTTTGGATAGTCTGGCGTGGTTTCGTTCCATTTCAAACAGCTCTTTGACGCTAGGCTAACCTTTGCGCACTGCCACTCCAACATCAAATCCCAGAGCTTGAAGATTAATCACGGGGACTGTAGTCCTAAACGATAGCTGGGGATTATGGGTAATGTAGTGTCTTCGGCCATCCTAAACACCTAGAGGCCTACATCTGTTTCCGGTTATTTTTATTTTGAAATTCAGTTCCTGACGGACGTAAAAAAATCACGAGATTATGGAAATAAACCAATAAATAAAAACAAGGATAATTATATGTTATTGTTGAGTAAATAACAGTGTGCTATTTTGAAAAGAATAACAAATTAGAAGGAAAAAAAGATTTAAAAAATACAGATTTCAGTATCCTGAGGCTCTCAGCCCCATTTATTTTCCTCACAGACAGCAACAAAAGTCAGAAATGATACGATTTAAAATAAAAGCAATAATTGTGGCTTGATATTGAGTAAGAACATGTTTTTATGAACCACACAGCTTCCGGTCTTCCTATAACACGTAATGCCGTGAGTATACCAATAGAAATACATTGCTTTTAAAATCGTGCTGTGCAACACGAAAAAAAGGGGGAAATTGTGTTGGTGAACATGAATCAATAGATTATAAATCGTGTTGGTGAACACGAAATGCCATGAGGCTGGGTTGAAATACCATGTGTCATTCAAAAAAGCAGTTACAAATAATGTGTTTTTTTATTTTTTAGGAGTTCAGAAAGAATGGGAGCAGCTCACAATGGGAAATGTTTGCATTGCAGCAGCATAAAAACACAAGGCAATGTACATAAGAGAAATCAAGACACAGAAATAAACAGTCCAATATATTTCAGAAATAGAAATAAAATAGCATTACAAAGTTAAAAAGTTAAGAGATAAAAAATTAAATATATATATATACATATGGAAAATATACATGTGGAAATACACATTTCCAGTAACAAATATAATGCAGGATATTATTGTGCAAGAATGGATTATTCAACATTAAATAGAATATGAATGTAAAATGTCCAGTGGGATTTTAAGTCCAGTTATTAAGAGAAGCTATGGAGCAGAGAGGAAATGTCTATTTTATTCTGCAGACATCTAATGACAAACATAATGTCAGCACAGATTGCAAGGCATTCCACTGCTGGGAACACACCCTGTAGGACCTGGTTTCACATTCCTTACCTGTCCTCTGACAGAATCTGACTGAACCTGTTACAGACCGTGTGCCTGGCTCACTGATGTCAGAGAACACAATGGAACAAATGCATTGCAGTCTTACTGTGACTGGAAAATAGGTTTCAGTAGGTGCATCATTTGAAAGTGGAAGAGTATGTTTGTTTCAGGGGACTTCACAATCTGTACAACGTATGACTATAAGTAGAGTATACCTGCTTTTAAACTTTACTTTTAAAAAGTTTTTTATGTATATTATTGTTGTAGGCACAGGATGATACGACTGTTTAGACAGTATAGCTTGATGATTAAAAGTACACAAAATCAAATCAGAGTAAAAAAAAAAATGGTTAGGTTGACAGTTAAACTAAGCTAAAATTGGTGGTAAAATCGAATAATTGCCTATTTAATGGTGTTATGAATGAACAGACAGATGCCACAAAATACTGCAACTATACAGAACCCTATATAAGCATCTATGCCTAATAATATTTCAGTTTAAAATGTTTCCTCTCAAAGTTAGTAAAATATATTTTTGTCTTTCCAAAGTCGTGTGTAGACTGTAATTTTGTACTGCTGTGCCGTTGTTTTATGTACACCTCTTCATGTGTGTGTATGTATATTATGTGTCTATGTATGAGTATGTGTATATATATACATATAATATATATATGTATAAGTGTGTGTACATGTATATATATATATATATGTATATATTTCTATCCTTTGTGACGTGGAGAAACGGCATTTCGATCTCCTTGTTTGTATCATACACACATAGAAATTGACAATAACTTACAGTGAGGATTAATATATATCTCAAAGTTGACAGACTAAATTTCATTTAACCCTTATATAAACAATACTGTTACACTCTGTCCTTCAAAGGCCCCCCCTTTGACCCCGCTTTTCAATCAATACGCTCTAAAACCGATGCATTTTCACACATGCATCATTTCCTTGTTCAGAGAATAAACAAAACCATGTAAAACACAATCCTCATTTGTATCCAGAAACCTAAATCTGTATTGTCCCGACGCACAAAGAATCCTGCACAGCTGGTATTCTCTGGCAGGCCCTTAATGGGTTCTCAATTGCATTTCTTTCACGCCTCCCATTCTTTATTCTCATGCTGCTTCAGACGAACATAAACACCCCATCAGCTCCTCGTACTCTCTCAGAGACGCTCAGAGAGAGAACACGATGGCTTCCATGGGGATGCAGATGGCGGGATGTGCCTTGGCCCTTTTGGGCTGGATCGGGGTCATCATTATCTGCGGCGCACCCATGTGGCGGGTCACGGCCTTCATTGGCAGTAACATAGTGACATCACAGACCATGTGGGAGGGCATCTGGATGAGCTGCGTGGTCCAGAGCACGGGCCAGATGCAGTGCAAGGTGTACGACTCCATGCTGGCCCTGGGGACTGACCTGCAGGGGGCCCGGGCCCTGGTGGTGGTCTCCATCGTCACAGGGCTCGCAGGGATCCTCATAGCGTTCGCTGGAGGAAAGTGCACCAACTTCATTCCTAATGACCGGGCCAAGGCGAGGGCCACTGTGGCGGCTGGCGTGCTGCTGATCATCAGTGGACTGCTCTGCCTTATTCCCGTGTCCTGGACCGCCAGCATCATCATCAGGGACTTCTACAACCCGGTGCTGATCGACGCCCAGAAGAGAGAGCTCGGGGCCTCTCTGTACATCGGCTGGGGGGCCGGGGCGCTGCTGGTTTTGGGAGGAGCGCTTCTGTGTACCAGCTGTCCCCCCAAAGAGGATGAGACCCCCTCGGTGAAGTACCTCCTGAACAAGCCTGGAGAAAGCAAAGTGGATTCAATCGGATCTTACACACCAAACAAAACGTATATTTGAGTTTTTAAAGGGAGAAGTTGTTAAGGAAAAGTTAACCCTTTTGTGAAATATCTGTACAAAGGACACCCACACAGACAACCCACAATGAAGGAAACATGCACTTTGTTTTAATAAGATAGTCACACTTTGTATGTATGAAGACGCTCTCTGTCTCACATTGCTTTGAATATTGTTGGTACTCTTCTTTGTGAACTTTTATATGGTGGTAGTTTAGAAAGTGGTTGGTATCAGTTGAAAAATGTTTTTATTGTAAATGCACTGTGCACCTTTTTAGTCCATCAGTATTTGTAATAAATGACCTTCTATTGTAAACCTCTCCCTCTCCTGCTTCTTGTTTATGTACATTTGATAATGGCACCCGTGGTTATTTAAACCAAACACTGAGAGAACCTGTTTGACAGGTACTTACCAGAGATGACTAACCAGGGAAAAAAGATGGTGACTCCATCTTATCTATCTATCTATCTATCTAAAGACACACATGTTTACGTTTTTGTTAGTGGTACATTTTGACCTAAAAATCTTAAATATATGAGTTGAGTTGGATTTAAAAGATGCTTTGAAGTGTCGATGTTGTTAGTTCACATTCCCACAAAATGATGGGATTGTTTAGTTTCGTCATGTTATCAGACTGCAGATCAGTGAAGAAAGGGAGGGTCAAACTGTCTCAGGATGTGTTTGAGGAGCTTAAAATATTCAAAATGAAAACTTTCTCCACTCTGTGTTTCGGTTTTCTCAGGGGTTTACTTTCATGTTTACGCTCAACAGCTATTTTCTTTAATCTAACAAGGGAATAAAGGTAGATGTTTATGAGTATCAATAAGGTCTATACTCGTTTTTTTTAACCAATATCTTAAAGATACGTGAAAAGGCCTCTGGATGGTAACAGTAATATTTGCCGAAATGCGGTGTATTTGGGCTTGAATTTGGAAGTAATTTGCCCTTACATATTATCCAGGAAATTCCTTATTTAGTTCAGACAATACACAGATTTGACTACAGGAATGTATGTTTTTCTGTGCTTTTTTCGCATTGGTCATGAAACCTTTCGACAAATGAATGATATTTCTTTTGTAATCTAAAATATACTATTGAGTCTAAGAGAGATGTGAACAATTTCTGTCGGATAACTCTCATGCAAACAAACAGTAACTCTGCAACACCAAAAACCTTCAGGAAAAATTCAAATTATTCTTTGTTCTTTTCTGTCCTTTTCAGTTTCTTTTTAATAACAAACATATTTTTTTAACACTTCTCTGTTATTAAAACCAAGATCCTTCCAGTCATCAGCAATGTTTGCCCCCATTCGTTCTCATTGTGTTTGTCTCTTTTGGCACACTGCAACCTAGTGGCCATTTGCCACCATGCCTAGAGATTCTCTCAAATTGTATCTATTGACGTCAGCTACAGAAAACCACTTCTGCTTTACGGTTAAACATCTCTGCAGCTTCACATCTGATAACAGTGAACACAGTTTATCTGCACAGTGACACTTTGTAACTTGTGTCTGTCTGCATTTCTTATTATTCATCATATTACTTTATATAAGTATTCACCTATGTTTAGAACACAGACATCTGTTTAAAGTCTACATTTGATTTAATATATGCAGTGTTTTATTCCACTGTACACTGTTTGATTTTACATTCTGAGTGTATTTTAATCTTAATCTATTGTACATGTATATAGCTTTTTGGGGGAGGGGAGGGGGGGCATTTTACTTTGGGTAACATGCATCATTGCCTTCTTGCACTATTTGTATAACTCTTTGTGTCTTAATGTTTTTTAGGTATAATGTATGTTGAATTGTTGTTTTCATTGCCATAACTACGCTGTAAATGAAAATAAAGCATTTGAGTTGTTACATCTTTGAATCTTTATTGTCTTTAGTTTTACGTTGAAATGAAAACAATACATGAACATTATGTCGACATGATGCAGAAAAACACTATTTAGTTGTAGGTTAATGACTGAAAAACATCCCAAACCAAATGACTTTGAATCTTAACAGATCTCTTTATTCCATCCAGCAGCATTTTATTTTAAATGAATCTCAAATACTAATAAGTATGCACACGTGTCTGTATGGGGATACATCAATGTTTGCATGATACTGAGTAACAAATTGCAGATTGAATGAACTTGAATCTCTCAGATGCCTATTCTGAATAAAAACCTCCATGTTTTTTACCCTTCCCTCCTCTATGTTTCCAGGCAGTGTGCGGCTGCACAGTGTCCCATGGCTGTGCAGGAGCTGGGCATCAGCCTGTCCATGATGGGCGTGGCTGGGACCATCCTGATCTGTGCCCTGCCCATGTGGAAGGTGACGGCGTTCATCGGCACCCACCTGGTGGTCATGCAGGTGTTCTGGGAGGGTCTGTGGATGACCTGTGTGAGTGAGTACACAGGCCAGATGCAATGTAAGCTGTACGACGCTCTGCTGGACCTGGCCCCCGACCTGCAGGCGGCCCGCGGCCTCATCTGCATCAGCCTGGTGCTCGGGTGTCTGGGGTTCGTCATCTTCCTCCTGGGGGCACGCTGCACCAACTGCCTGAGCCACCCAAGGTTCAAGGCCCGGGTGGTGCTGGGCTCCGGGGCCATCTTCTGCCTGGCGGCCCTCACCACCATAGTTGCTGTTTCCTGGTCGGCCAACTCCATCATCAAAGACTTCCACAACCCACGCGTCCCTGAGGTGCTGAAGAGGGAGCTGGGGGCAGCCATTTATATCGGGTTTGTGTCATCTGGGCTGCTATTCTGCGGGGGGGCCATTCTGTGCACCAGCTGCCCCCCACAGAGAGGCAGGTTTCCCTCCAGTGGGTACACACTGGCCAGGAAACCCACACACAGCAGCTACGCCTTCAAGAACTACGTTTGACCTGAGGACTGGAAACATTAAACCACTTAAAGAACCAGTGTGTGGGATTTAGTGCCATAAGAAGTCAGATTGCAACCAACTGAAAACCCCTACATTCCTCCAACCTAGGGGTCTCAAACTCAATTTCATCGCAAGCCACATCAGCATTATGGTTGCACTCAAAGGGCCGATTGTAACTTTAAGACTATATAAATATACATATATAATAAATATACAATATGTATAAAATAATGTATTATATTACATTATTGCCTCTGCATTGGATTATTATCGGATAGGGTAATAACTTCATAATTAACAACGTCTGAAAGCAGAAGTCTTGGGCAAATAATTGCAAGTCTCTTCATTGCGCATGTCACAAAATGAGATGCATTGTGGGACATGTAGTTTATGAGCAACATGCTTCTGTAAAGCGGCATTTAGCCGTATAATAAACGTATTATTCTTTGCAAGCTCTTGCGGGTCACATAAAATGGAGTTCGGGCCGGACTTGGCCTGCAGGCCTTGAGTTTGATACCCCTGCTCTAACCCCTCCCATTCCATGATTCTTTTTTGTCATTGGTTCAAAAACATACAATGATAAGAACAACAGAGAGATATCCAACAATAAGTCTTTAATAACAAGGTGGCGTAGAACATTTGATACATACACAACAAAAATGGAAAAAAATAACAATAAAAGGAAAAGTGTTTCATGAACTTAGTTTGTGTGTTGATAGTTTCTTGTTTTATTCTGAAGCGTGTTCCCTCTTTTTGTCTTGTCTGGTTAAACTTCCTGTATTTTAGTGTTCCCCTGATTGTCTGATTGTGTTCACCTTGTGTTTCTGTTTGGCCTCCCCAGCTGTGTCTTGATTAGTCTTGCGTGTACAGTATTTAGTATTGTCTTCCTTTTTGTCCATTGCCGGTTCGTCATCGTTCCCTTGGTTTGGTTCCTAATCTCTTGTCTGCCTGTTCTTGCTTTCCCTTGTCTGCCCTCCTGTGTCCTCGAAGTCTTCCCGATTGTTGCTAGTTTTTGTTTGACCATGTCTGCTTCTCCAGTTTTTGTGTTTATTTTGTACCAGCTTCTTATTTAATAAAGCTTGCCTTTTGTTACACTCTTATACCTGCCTCCCCTGTTTTGTACTACATTTGGGTTCTGCCTTTGTTACGCCCTGTGACAAAAGTCCTGAAGGCAATAAAGGATTCAAAAAAGGATAATTATGAATATGTTTGAGAAAAGCAATACATCAATCAAATAACCCCTTCCTTTTCAAGTGGGTCAGAGAACTACAGTGGCCATGAACATGCAGAAAGCTCTCTGGATGTAGGCCAAACAGCATGTCCAAGGGGGGGCTGCTGCACTGCTTTGATGTTCTCTATAAATCAAAAGATGAGGAATGGGGGAGGGGCATTGTTGTTTAATGGCTATGTTGGCAGCGCCGAACTGTCGTCTTTATATATGGGACATTACATTCCTTTTAGCTAACACCTTTATAAAAAGTTACTTTCAATAACATTCAACCATCGAACGATACAAACTCAGAACAGTGAGACACATACATTCTAAGCTAACAGAAACAAAATGATATGTAGTTTCAGGTCATTCATGTTGATGAAAACATGGTTATTAATATTCAATTACTGCCAATAAGTCCCCCTAGATCCTTCTCATTGGACCACCTTTAAAGATACATGTATTGAGCTGTTGGATATAATGCAATTGACAGTAGTTTTTTTAATATAGTATATTGAAAAAGAAAACATCTTGAAAAATTGAAATATATAAAAGGACCATGAATAAATGATTTGCTATACATAATAATATGTAATGTTAATGAATGACACATGAAAATGACAATGTTTGCATCGATGTTTTTTTTATCGTAGAATTCAAATAAACTCTGGAGTAAACATATGGTAGTTGAATCAGTGTTCTGTAGAGATAAACTTTTATTAGGTGTATTTTCCCCACCCCCCAACCCCAGGAGCTCCACTGCCCCTTACACGTGAGAGCAACAGAGCCAATCACATTAATAACTTGTGCTCTTTAAATCGAGTTCACTCCCAGAACAAGACACAGCGTCTGAAAATGAGCGCACAGGGGACGCTTTGTTTTCCCCTCTCCGCACAAACTGGGAGAAAGGGATTGTTTTGAAACCATGGCAGAGCAAAACAGAGGAATCTCCCTGCTCCAACTCCTCCACCCAGCTGCAGCAAGGCCGTGCCTTCTCTTCAGAAATGCCACAGAACTGGTTTCCCCTTTCTGAACACACACACACACACACACACACACACACACACACACACACACACACACACACACACACACACACACACACACACACACACACACACACACACACACACACAGTCTCTTGTCTCTTCCTCACATATGCACACCAAAAAACACACCGCGCCCTGCAGCCAGCCGCCAACTGTTTCTGGTTAGACAGCCGGGGCCTGCAGTCATGGAGCGGCAGCTGGAGCTCGCTGCCCTCGGCGTGGCATTCACCGGGTGGCTGTGTGCTATCCTGACCCGCTGCCTGGCCCTGTGGACGGTGAGCGGCACCATGGACAACAACACGGCCACGCTGCCTGCCTACTGGGACGGGGTGTGGCTGGAATGGGATCACTGGGACCTGGCCCACGATGGAAGCCTGCACTGCTCCTTCTACCAGTCTCTCCTGTCTCTCTCTGGAAACATCCGCACGTGGAAAGCCCTCATCATGGCGGCTGTCGGTGCCGGGGCTTTGGCTGTGGTGATAGGGGGGGTGGGGGCGGTGTGGTTCCCCCTGAGGGGACAGGTCAAAGTGTTTTCTGGAGCGCTCTTTGTTTTGTCTGGGATCCTGCTGCTGGTTCCCATTGCATGGACGTGCCATCACACCAGTCAGCCACTGGAGGGGGCCGCCCTGCTGAGGAGAGCCTGGGGGCCTGCGCTCTACCTCGGGTGGATCTCATTTGCTCTGATGCTGGCGGGGGGTGGGTTTCTCACCACCAGGTGCCCCACAGGGGGTCCGGTGCAGCTGCCTGCAGGGGGCGGGCCCTCCAGTCCAGAGGAGGAGGCCGCCCACCCGCTGAGCCTTATCCACAGGACTGCGTTCACTCAGAGCCAGTATGAGCGCCAAGCAGGGCCCGTGTGAGGGGACTGGATATAACTGGAAAACCATCAATATGTGAAGTGACTGACACACACACACACACACACACACACACACACAATTGTTATTTGCATCCTGTTTTGTATTTCTATTGAAGCTAACACTGTGTAGCTATATTTAATGCCATTACTAATACCAAGCTGACATCAAGACATACAGCCCTCAGATCACTAATAATGTCTTAAATGTGAGTGAATATTGATATTAAAACTAAAGACATATTGCACTACATCAGCTGGTTTCAGTGGCAAACATGTTTACACCCGAGGTGAATTCTTCTGCACAAAAGGACACTGGAATAAAGCTTTGCACGTGACTCAGACATCTTTGTTTACAGGAGTTCTTCTAATGTCATGCTTTACAGTGATTGTAACTCATGCCACAGAACACTTAAGGATCAAATGGGGTGAGCCAATTCAAAAACAACATAGATGTCTATTTTGAGTATTTGTATTTTAAAATAAAAAGACGGAACTTGGCCAATTGTCTTGCTTTTTAATGACTGATGATGACACAATTGCTGTTTTGTTTTATCGGGGAAGCTACATTTCTGATTCGGTTGTCTGAACTAAGTTAACTTGACTTCAAAAGCTCATATCGACTTGAGTATCAAAAAGAATGAAACTTTTATTTGCTTTCATATTTCTGCAGTTATACCATTCTAAGCCGTGTTTAGAATTACTTCGTAGGAAAAATACACATTTAAATTTGTCAAAAAAATACTCCTTTTAAGCTATATTTAGAAAAAAAGTATGGTAGCCTTTAAGGAACACAGCATATAAATCAGAATACAATATTCAAGATAATACCTGTAGGGTTTTATATTGTGTAGCTCTTCTTCATAAGGAGTACAACTCTTATTTTCTGTCCTTTTTTGCAACACTCTGATTTCCATTAATTTTAAAATGAACTGTGTGTGTAGGAGGAAACTCACCATCTAAACACAACAAAGAAGATGTCAAATTAATATATTTATTTGTTACAGAGAAAGATCATTCATTATGACAAAATATATGTTTTTGGGTTAAGGTAATTATCCATAAAACTGGGATATAGAGCGTGACTATATGGCACACAGTCTGACAGTTGTGTTTGTGAAGCTGAATAAATACGTCACTGCAGGCCAGAGCTTTTACTTTTTCAGTAAAATGTAACGCAAATTAATTTACATACTCAAATTAATTTTCAAAATTCATTCCACCGAGCACGCACATCTGGCAAAAACCTTTCCTTCAGTTAAACACATCTGTTTAACACTCTGGAACAGGATTGGCTGAACTTTGCAAGAGTCTCCTCAAAAATATAGTCCCTCAGAGAGACACAGTCTGTGAGGGGGGGTGAAGCGTGTCAGTGTGGATGACAGTCCTGATGGGGGGGGGTTGCTAGAATTTCTCCTCTCCCTCCTCCACATCCTTCAGATTGAGGACCTCCAGAGACCCCCGGCCTTTAGTCTCACAGCGGATCAGCTCGTCAATCTCTCTGAAGCAGCCGGGGTCCACCAGAACCACCTGGGGAATAACATTTGTATTATTAAACTTATGTATTTATTATTAATATTTGGTGCTAGGATTCAAGGCAAACAGTGAGGTGACTTTCTTTGTCTAGTTTTATTTACAAAAAAAAAACTGTTTTCTTTTGTAAAAACTAAACCTGAGAAACTAAGTCAATGAAAAAAACCTAGAAAAAAAATACAAAAACAATAGACACTGTTTGCAAACTGGAGGCAGAGTAGAAGGCCCAGTTCCAGACCTCTCTCTCTAGCTTTTAACTTACGACCTGTGTCAATAACACGGCATACATGTTATACATAGTTTTGTATATTTACAACCTCCACCTTAAAGAAGGGGCCTCATCCAGCTGAGAGAGACACTACAGACTCGTGTGTAAGAGTGTGTTTGGAATTGGGACTAATAGTGTGTACCAGTTAGTGTTGTCACGATACCAACATTTTGGTTTCGATACCAAGTCAAGAATTGTGATTCCGATTCTTTTTTTTAAAATTATTTTCATGATCAATACAATTGTAGTTTATCTGTTAAGTGTTTTCTTACAACATGGTCTCTTCTTTATACTTGAGTTTATGTGATTTCTTTGATAGATAACTTTATATTTTATTAACATGTAATAGTAGGCTACAGTAATATAAATAATTATTGACAAAATGTACATTGCCGATGTTAGCTACATTGGTAAGTTAGCTAAAAAGATAGCCATATTAGACAGTTATCATTGCCATTAATTGCCTCATCAAACTACGAAAACGTTAGTTTGTCACAAAATAAATTACACGTGTTTGACTTAGATTTGAGGGCATGGGCTTGAGCATGATGTAATTATGTTATCTATCACATTCGCTAACCTGTCTGTCTTTACATTCTTTAAACAGCTCTGGATGCCGGTCGGCGGGTGCTTAGCCAAGTTTGATGTGTTGGCTCCCTTGGTTTGCAGGGATCTAAAACATGTCCTACAGACAGGCCTCGTGGTGTCCGTAGGCTTGCACTCAGTCAGAGATAAACCTCAAATATTTCCAAATTTAGCTTCTGGCTCTTTTTTGTCAACAAGCCGAGGCGCAGCGGCAGTTGCACTCCCACTTGCAGCCATGCTTCTCGTCTTCTCACATGCTCTGGCAGCGAGCGTGTGCACAAGAGAGGGGAGGCACATAGAGCGTGCTTGAGAGGGGCGGGACTGCAGGCACGGCTGCAGTGCAGGGAGTGGAAGCAGAGCGCTGAACACACACGGCTCTTGTTAAAACAGCGCTTTCTCATTCTTAAAGTACCGATACAAATGAAACGGAGGAATCGTAACGTTTTTAACGGCAGGGTATCGCGGTACCTTTCAAGTATCGGTACATCGTGCAACACTAGTACCAGTATTTATCTAATGTCCCCCTCACCATCTCCAGCTCCTCGTCAAAGTCCTCGCTCTCCACCACCTGCAGCAGTGGCTTCAGCTTCTCCTTCAGCCTCTTGGCCTCCTTGGCTGGCAGCACCAGGCGCAGCCTCATGTGGGCCCTCTGGATCTCCATGGACTCCTTCAGCTGCCGGATCACTTCCAGAGCCTGGGAACAGCAGGGTCAGTTAGTCAAAATGTGTACAATAGGGCTGCAACATCTTTGCCAGGTGCACATCTCATTAAAAATTCCACCATGATTGTTTTAATATATCTCTCAGTGATAATGCGGCAAAAATTATCAATCCCGCCTGTATCACAATATCCTATTCCCAGTACAAATATGTCAATACACTTGTACGGCTTAATTTTCTCTGCACACAGAAGACAGCAGATGTTGAAATAAGATTTAGCTGCAGAGGAAATGCCGGTTTGCTCCACTTGGGGTGAGCAAAAATCTATATATTTTTATTAGGGATGCACCGAATATTCGGCCGCCGAAAATTATCGGCCGAAAATGGTTAAAAAGGCCCTTTCGGCTTTCGGGTTACGTTGGTAAGCTAACGTGTTGTTGTGATGACGTAATCAAAATGCGGCGAAAAGCACGGCGCGCGACCATGCTCGCGGCTGGCTCACAGCCAACATGTCTGCCACTTGGAGATATTTAAAAATATCAGAGAAAGAGGCGCGGATTGTGATTTGTAAAACGTGTTCAGCTGACATTTCTCGAGGGGGTGTAACTGCAAAGACTTTCACCACTTCGGGATTACTCCACCACTTGAAATCAAAACACCCGGACAAATATGCGGAGTATGATCAAATCACAAGCACTGACAGCGAGAGACTGTTCAGCGCTGCCTCTCATGTGCTTGATGAGAAGAGGAACAGACTTATGGCTGATAAAGCAGAGAAGCTACTGTTCATTAAAAAGAACCTCCCACTTTTCCTTAATAAGTAGACAAGGCTGGCTTATCATAAGCTTATCTAGTTCTACATGTCTACTCTATACCCACTTTCCTGAACAATTTTCATTGTGAGTTATAATTCACCATCTCAGGTTAT